TGGATTACCCAGATTTTAATATTTAATAGGTGTAAACAGGGCTTTGTTTGGGTGAGGTAGTACCCTAGGATGAATTCAGCTATGAAATAAATAAAAACTGAATGAGAGTACACTAGATGTACTGTAAGCTGTAGTAATGCAGGTTCTACTTTAGTCAACCCCTTCTGACTGTGTCTAAAAACAGGACCTTCTCCCTAGTCCAAATTAAATAATCATCTTGACTGCCCTGTAAATAGAATTGTCTTCCTCCTCGCTCGGGAAAACAGGAACCCCTCTACAATTAAGTCGGCACAGATTGGCGGTGGTCTTTACGAGGCGTCAGAAATCTCCAGCCGACTGCAATTTTCACCAGAGATTTGGCACTCCCTTGATGGCTCCCTGAGAGGCTCTCAAGGGAAAGCCCTACTATTCATTGTAATTAAGAAATTTCTCCACTGCCGGCAGCGAAAGGTTTTATCGTTCATGCTTCAGCACACTATACCTACTGTACTGTAATCCCAGCTAGTGAATGGTCTGCGCAAGCAGGCTGCTGTCCAAATATGCTTTAGACACAGTGCAGCAAAATACAGTTGTGACTCCTCTTCTGAGTGCTTAATCCCGCTCTGTTCACACAGAGATTGCTTATTGTGTACATGCAGTGGAAAATCACGTGAAGTTCACACATGCAGTATATAGTAACTGCACTAAAGGAGGTTTACAATCATTACAACAACAATCATTTGTTTGTAATTTCATGTTTGTGGTGAGATTAAAATGTGAAAATATAATATATAATATAGTATAAAATATAATATATAATAATGTGTGATATATGTAGTCATGAAATCAAAGACAAGTGCTCAGATTAATTTCCCAAACATTTAAATTGCGACAATAAATATTCATTTGAATTTGGCAAATTCATACATTATGGTCTAGAGAGAGCACATTGTTTAAAAACAAAAGGCCACTTTGTAAATTTTAGTTTGCTGATAGGTGTTTGTGGTAATTAATATTTCTTTCATCCATCCTACATTACCATTCAAATGTTGAGGTCGGTATGATTGTGAAAGAAGTCTCTTATGCTCTCCAAGGCTGCATCTATTTGATTAAAAATACAGTAAAAATAGTAATATTGTGCAATTTTATTACAATTTAAAGTCACTTTTTTTCTATTTGAATATACTTTAAAATGTAATTTATTCCTGTGATGACAATGCTGAAGTTTCAGCAGCCATTACTCTAGTCTTCAGTGTCACATGATTCTTCAGAAATCATTTTAATATGCATTCTAATCATTCTAATAACATTCTGATTTGGTGCTCAAGTAGCATTATTGTAAATGTTAAAAACATTTTACTGCTTAATATTTTTGTGGAAACTGGTCATTTTTTTCAGGATTTGATTAATATAGAACAGCATTTAGTTGAAATAGAATTTTTTACTAACAATGGAAGTTTTTACTTTCACTTTTAATCAATTTAATGCATCCTTGCTGAATGAAAAGTGTCTTTATTTAAAAAAAATTAATAAAATCTTACTAAAACATCTGAAGACATGCCATACAGTATTTCTCCCTATGCACAGAGCCGCATTAACCACTGGGCTAGGCGGGGCTGAAGCCCCGGGGCCCGAGCAAGGAGGGGGCCCGTGATTGGCTGTGGAGTAGATTGACGGACATCGGTAGCGCCGAGCGCCAAAGCCCCACCACGCCCCTCACTTTTTAGCGCTATTATTTAGTGGAGTTTTCCGTAAATTCCATGCATTACCATTAGAGATTAAAACGTCACATTTGAATTTGTTTTACCAATCAAATGCATTTATATATATATATATATATTATTTTACTTTTGAATGAATTGTGCACGTAGCCTATCAGGTTATCGCTGCGCATAATGTGTGCATTTACCTCTCCACTTCATTCTGGTGTAATCTAGAAACGGTCATGCAAAGAGCAATCTTCGATAAGTAAAAATGCGCCGAGCGCCAAAGCCCCACCACGCCCCTCACTTTTTAGCGCTATTATTTAGTGGAGTTTTCCGTAAATTCCATGCATTACCATTAGAGATTAAAACGTCACATTTGAATTTGTTTTACCAATCAAATGCATTTATTATATATATATATATATTATTTTACTTTTGAATGAATTGTGCACGTAGCCTATCAGGTGATCGCTGCGCATAATGTGTGCATTTACCTCTCCACTTCATTCTGGTGTAATCTAGAAACGGTCATGCAAAGAGCAATCTTCGATAAGTAAAAATGTCAACAATTCTAAAAAAAAAAAATAGTGAGAGAAAAAAATGAGGAGAGAGGGGAAACATGAGTTTAGTCGCTAAAATCCACAGCTAGTTTATATTACTAAAGCTCATGATGGAGTGGGAGTTGTGGAACCGCAAATGGACCGGACACATGGAGCAGATAAAAACACAGCGTCATCATCCCCAGAGATTTTAGGTTAGTTTGATTATTAACTTGATAGATGTATAGTGCTTTTTGTGTTTGAACAAACTCTATAGGGCTAGTATATTCGCTTATGGGTTGAGTTGTTTTACCAATCAAATGCATTTATTATATATATATATATATTATTTTACTTTTGAATGAATTGTGCACGTAGCCTATCAGGTTATCGCTGCGCATAATGTGTGCATTTACCTCTCCACTTCATTCTGGTGTAATCTAGAAACGGTCATGCAAAGAGCAATCTTCGATAAGTAAAAATGTCAACAATTCTAAAAAAAAAAAATAGTGAGAGAAAAAAATGAGGAGAGAGGGGAAACATGAGTTTAGTCACTAAAATCCACAGCTAGTTTATATTACTAAAGCTCATGATGGAGTGGGAGTTGTGGAACCGCAAATGGACCGGACACATGGAGCAGATAAAAACACAGCGTCATCATCCCCAGAGATTTTAGGTTAGTTTGATTATTAACTTGATAGATGTATAGTGCTTTTTGTGTTTGAATAAACTCTATAGGGCTAGTAGCCTATATTCGCTTATGGGTTGAGAAATTCATTTTGTGCGTCATGATGTAAGCTTTTCATTTAAACACATTTTAAGCATTGTGGTTTAAAAACTAATTTAACTGTTCAGGGACATTAAGCAGTGGGGCAGAATTCATTTTGGCAAATGCGAGCGTTAACACGGGTTCTGTTACGCTTGCTCGTACAGCGCCTGACTGGGGTTATTTTTCGCACCTTGTGTTTAGTTCAAGTTCAAGTTCATTTTATTTGTAGAGCTCATATACAACAGCCACCAGGCTGACCAAAGTGCTTTTCAGAAGAGCAACAATTTTACCACATACACAGAGAACAAACCAGACAAAAATTAAAAACCGCACGTTTAAAAATTACCATATCACAGTAGTTATTATAATTATAATAGTAATTAATACACTAAGGAAAACAAATAAGTTTGTAGCAAGGACTTAAAAACAGACAAAGAAGGCGCCATTCTAATCTCTAAAGGTAGGGTATTCCAGAGTCGTGGCCCTGCCACCGCAAATGCACGCTCCCCTCTAAGCTTAAGCCTAACGTGAGGGACCACCAACAAGGCCTGGTCACAGGATCGTAGGCTTCTAGATGGAGTATAGAAGTAAAGAAGGTCAGATAGATAGACAGGAGCTTGGTTATATAGGGATTTATATACAAAGAGGAGAATTTTAAAGTGTATTCTCTGACAAACCGGCAACCAGTGTAGAGATCTAAGAATTGGAGTGATGTGTTCATATTTATGACACTTTAAAAGAAGTCTGGCTGCAGCATTTTGGACAAGCCGAAGACACGCAATTTGAGATTTAGATGTACCGCAATATAAAGAATTGCAGTAATCTAGACGAGACGTAACGAACGCATGAACAGCCATTTCTAGAGTTTTTGGAGTGAGAAAGTTTTTAATTTTAGACAGTAAACGAAGCTGATAGAAACTGGACCCAATGACAGAAGAGATATGTTTATCAAATTTTAAATGCTGGTCGACTAGAATACCTAGGTTCCGCACCCACGAGGATCTAAAAACGGATAAACTTTCTAACTCAGGGTTTATACACTGAGAGTTATCATTTGGACCGAAAACAATTACCTCGGTCTTGTCTTCATTTAGGAAGAGGACATTTTGGGCTAGCCATGATTTAACCTCCTCTAAACATTTCAGAAGGGAAGTAATCGCAGTGGAATTGTTTTTCTTGATTGGTAGAGAGATTTGAGTGTCATCTGCGTAGAAATGAAAAGACACACCATGTTTTTGTAGAATAGAGCCCAAAGCTAACATGTAAAGAGAGAATAGAGAGGGAGCTAAAATAGAGCCTTGTGACCTGAGCAGGGGAAGAGGAAAAATTACCCAACTTCACTAAAAACTTTCTGTCAGACAGGTATGACTGAAACCATTTCAGAACGTTTAGACGTTTAGTTTAAACGTTCAAACACGCATAGTTATGTGTCAAAATGCCTGTCTCCGACCTCGTCAACACAGTTATTTGTGTCTTAAATGAAAGTTAATAGTTAAAGATAAAGCATGTGCACTGGTTGGCTATTATGCGATCCTGGCATTATATGATGAGATTTTAAAGGGATATAGTTCACCCAAAAATTAAAATATTGTCATCATTTACTCAATTTCAAGTTGTTCTGAACATGTATGAATTTTATTTGAATTTACTTTGTTCTCCTCAACATAAAAGAAGATATTTTGAAGAATAATTGTAACCACCAGAAAGTTTCTGGTCCCTGTTGACTCCAATAGTTTTTTAAATTTATTTTGAGATATTGGAATTGGTAACAAGAATTATGAAACTTTGATTGGATAAAAATCCCATTTTAAGCTATATCATTATTGTGACAGGGGGGCCCTGCAGTAAGTCATAGCCCCGGGGCCCAGTGAGGTCTTAATGCGGCCCTGCCTATGCATGGAACAATTCAGAAAATCCATCAGTCAGCTAAGCGGGAAATGGTCCTGACTTCATGATTCAGATATTCTGCTTTAAGTTGAACTGTGATTAATGTGCTCTATCCATCAGCAACACCACTGAGGGAGGAGGAACGTACATTAAAAAGTGCTGCAAAGGCTTCTGCATCGACATCCTGAAGAAAATCGCTCGGAACGTGAAGTTCACCTACGACCTTTATCTGGTGACCAACGGGAAGCACGGCAAGAAGATCAACAACATGTGGAACGGCATGGTGGGAGAGGTGAGAAGATTTCACTAGCCAAATCTGCCGATGCGATTTGTTATCGAACGCTGCTTTTCCATTAACAGAGATAAACAAAGGTTAGATTGAATAAAGTTTTGTTCTCCCTCTCTCTCTCGCGCGCTCCACTGGAAGTAATTTTGTAAAAGTCAGTCAAAGCCTGATAGCAATCAAATGTGAAATTGGGGAAATGAGCTAGATATTTGTTCAATTTGGATCCAGAGGGAGCGAAACGCTAGAACTCAAGTCTCATTTGGCTGCAAAAAGGAATCGAAATATCCCAGGTGTTCTGTCTATAAACTTTGCAGCTTTTGACTAAACCCCTGTGTCATCTTGTCTCCTTCAACAGGTGGTGTACAAAAAAGCAGTCATGGCCGTGGGCTCCCTGACAATCAATGAGGAGCGCTCAGAGGTCATCGATTTCTCCGTCCCCTTCGTGGAAACAGGGATTAGTGTGATGGTATCCCGTAGCAACGGAACCGTCTCCCCATCAGCGTTTTTAGGTAACTATCTGCAGGGCACAGCAGCTGTTTTCTCGACGATCGTCTTATTTCCACCTGTCAAAATATTGAAGTCTTTCCACCAGTCAAACCCCAGATCCGACAGGCCGATAGAGTCACCCACAAATCCGCTGAAGTGGGCCGCTTTTAGATTCATAGCACCCTGAGTGCTCCTTTATGCTTGATGGCACTAGATCAGCAAGCCATTATTTAATTAGCATAAGGCCAATAATTACAGGGTCTGAGAAACTTCCCCAATGGACACTTGCCAGTTTCGCATTTGCTTCCCACGGTAAAGCTCTTTTCATCTCTTCAGCTTGTCTATAGTCACATATCAAGCAGAATGCCTTGATGATAGTCGCTGACTGTGACTTTTTCCCCCGATCTATCTGTCTCTCGCTCCCGCTTCGCTGCAGAGCCCTTCAGTGCGTCTGTGTGGGTGATGATGTTTGTGATGCTGCTGCTGGTGACTGCAATGGCTGTCTTCATGTTTGAGTTCGTCAGCCCCCTGGGCTTCAACAGGAACCTCGCTCAGGGCAAAGGTACGTAACTAGCACTCTCAGCTACTCACTCCCTCCCTCCACAGTTCCTCCTCCGTTTCCCCTGCAATGCAGTCGGTCTTTCAGTTTCAGACACACTAGTAAATCCTTGCCCTGCTCTGATAGAGCGTCTCACATCTGCACCTCAAACCCCTTGTTCTTTTGCGAAACATTAAGGCTTAATTTATACTTAATTTCGGTGCTGAGTGGTTTCGGGCTCGGAGTTAGTTCAATAAAGTTCAATTCATTTTCATTTGATTCAAGTGGATCAGATTTAATTCATGTAGCCTCATTTGGAGTGCCTTTGTTACGTGGCACTAAAAAGCATTTCTTCTTTTGTTAGACGACTCATTTAAAGCTTAGATTTTCAAAAGGGAGGCACGTCAAAGCAATCTAAAGATAAATCAGCTGTCTATTTCTACAGCCACCTTACAAAGGAATTGTTCTAGGTTTACTTCTGTGTATTTATCGTAATGTTTCACGGTGAACTCTTGCATGCAGTTTCACTTATATGAAAACAAAAGGCAGATGAACTGTTCAAGAATATGAAGATTAACAGCTGAGCAGCAGGGTGCTGTACTTCTGCTTTATTCTGTACAAGTGCTCTAATGACCGTGAAGAGGGGAGATTATGTTATTTCTGAAATTAAAGAACTGAGAAAGACTTTGGCACGAATGAAGGATGTTAATGAAAACGCATCTTCCGCAGACCCCCACGGACCATCCTTCACCATGGGCAAAGCAGTCTGGCTGTTGTGGGGCCTGGTATTTAACAACTCCGTGCCCGTGCAAAACCCCAAAGGCACCACCAGTAAATTCATAGTGTCCATCTGGGCCTTCTTCGCTGTCATCTTCCTGGCCAGTTACACTGCCAACCTGGCTGCTTTCATGATCCAGGAGGAATTTGTGGACCAAGTGACAGGTCTAAGCGACAATAAGGTAAAACTATATATTTATACACTAGTGTTCACATTTTTGGGGTCTGTAAGTTTATTTATTTATTTTTAAAGAAATTAATTAATTATTTGGCAAGAATGCAATACATTAATCAAAAGTGAGAGTAAAGACTTTTATATTGGAAATATTTGAAGTTTTACTGAAATAAATGTCTATTCGTCGAGATTTATCATGATTTACACAAAATTATCAAGTAGCACAACTGTTTTCATCATTTAGAATAATAATAGGAAAGGTTTCTTGAGCAAAAAATTAGCATATTAGAATAATGAATAATGGCTGCTTAAAATTTCAGCTTAACTTAAATGATTTTAGCAAATGGCTGCAATATAACAAACAGTGAAAAATTTAAGGGGTCTGAATACTTTCCGTACCCACTGTATATAAAAAAAATAACCATTAAAAATATTCACATTCTTAATACAGTTTACCTCGCGTTTAGGTCATGTAAGGATATTTATTGATAGATTATGTGGCAAAGTATGTGTGTGTGTCTCCCAAAGATCTAATGAAAGCTTCGCCACTGATGGCAGCACAGTGGTTTCGATCCTGTAATAGCGCAACAAAGTACTTTGACCTTTGGAGACGTTGCAGTCTCTGCTGGGTATTTACTGCAGTCTACAGTGTTTACTTTGCAGGCTTGAAGTTTTGTCAGGCGCTGGATGTTTTGTTCATGAGGCTTGTATCCAAGACTAACAAGTGCTCCTCCTTTACATGAAAACAAAGTCTTCACAACTGATTAGTATTTATTTCAGAGAGAGAATGCACAAGAATCTTTCATGAGAATCCTGCACCACGCCAGCATGCTGATGTGAGTGTTGGATGACAATGAGCTGGAGCCTTCTTTAAAATAATTTGGATGCTTGGAAGGTTTAAAAAGGACTATGCTGCGTATTGCTTTGCAGAACTGGTCTGTGAAGAGAAAAACAGAAGAATAAAGACTACTGATGGCCTATACTATGAAATTTTAATAGAATAGAATAGAATAATATTTTCAGGTATTACTGTTAATTAAAGGCCTGTTTAATTGGTTCAAATATTTGTATTTTATTTATTTATTTATTTTATTTTTTTGGTGGTGGAGCTAGTCAAAATTTTTGAATAATAGTCAAAAATATGGCAAAACAAGTGAAAATCTGAACTAGTAGCCCATCCTGGCAAGTGTAAAATATCCTGTTTGAAAAGAATCTCTTCAATCACAAATAAAACAAAGCCCAAAGTTATTTCACATAGATTGTAAACTCTCTTATGTAGCGGTGAGCTCTATTAAAGTAGAATAATTTGTCTTGTTCAGCTGTCATGGGACTTTTTGTTGGCGTTTTACTGTAAGCTCAGCATTTGTGTGGAGGATTCATAAATACAATGTCTTTTGTAACTGGTAGTGAGCTGTTACTCTGTGTTAAATCCTGTAGGAGGACAGTCATTAAAGGCACAATATGTAAGATTTTTTTATTAAAATATCCAAAAACCACTAGAACAGTGTTATATATTTTGCTGACTTGTGTACTTACATTATCCCAAATGTTGTGAAGAATGTTTAAATGCTGCCAATGACGTCATAACCAGGGTTTGAAATTAACTTTTTCACTCACCAGCCAATTTGGCTACTAAATTTTTGTTACCGGCCATTCATAATTTCTACTAGCCAAAAAAATTTAACAAATAAATTATGAAAAAAAGGCCAGAGGAAAGCCAACAGCTTGAGGCTGTCCACACTGGATGCGACAAAGTGACCATTGCAAATCATTTGTACTTTGTCAAACAGTAGGTCTACGTCATAAATAGAATGAGGCATCAGTTTACTGTCGGGGATTTGTCGTGCTGTGCTGTGCCACATCCAGTGTAGGCCGCATCACAGATTATAATGGGTTCTATCTATGGGACTATCTGGTGTAGACACGATGAGAGTCTTCAGGCATTTTTTGACTTTTCGTTATTGCTACAATGCAAAGGAAACCAGTGCGCCCGCCACATAGCTTACTTGAACACACCCTTGCTTCGGCGATCGACCCACCGGGAATGTCCCGGTGCTCCCGATGGCCAGTAGCTACATCGCTGGGTATGTTCAAGTAAGCTAGATGCCCAGATGCTGAGCAATTAGGCTTATTTAATATCATGATGAGTCTCAAGTTCAGTATTTACACTAAATCTGTGCAGATTTGGCTTACATGAACTTCCTCAAGAAATTAATTAGTAAACATAATTTACGAAAAGTAACCCGCCAAATTGGCTAGTGATTTGACAGCGTTACCAGCCACAGCTGATTTTTACCCGCATTTGGCGGGTGTTAATTTCAAACCCTGGTCATAACCCCTCGATTTCGGGTTTTGTTTTGTAGAAAACATGGAAGGACCAAAGATGCTTTAATATGTTGTGCGTTTTAATAGACCGGTGACGACCACACAGAGTAGCATTATAACAGAACTTTCAAACGTATCTAGTATGATAAAACAGCGCTGCTTTTTTTCCCACATACGCACGACCGGAAGGAGCGGAAGCAGTCGACTGTGGCATAATAAAAGCTCCGCTGCTTTCGAGTCGTGTGTCACGCTCGTTCAGCGGCCTCGTTTCGCTTCCACGGCTTTCAGCCTCACCCTGCTTCATTCTACTACGTTAATAAATCATTAGCTCATCCATGAACATGATTTCTGCCCGAGTCCCGTCGGATTGCATCGGCTGTGGGGATGAAGACCACAACTCCCATGATTCCACACTCAGTCACGGCATCATCAAACTACGCCTTTGTTTCTTTGTTTATTTTGAATACGCGCCCTCTAGCGGCGAAAATGACATATTGTGCCTTTAACAAAAAGCCACATTTGTGTGGTGGTGTTCGGCAGAGTATGTGAGTGGAGTGGAGCGTCAACAATTTCCACTCCGTGCTCTGAGTAATTATTTAATAATCACTCCGCTCCCGGTTTACCATTTCCCGCTTCCGCTCCACTCCTCGCAGAAACACCGCTCTGCAGCTAAAGTATTTCAGTTTGTTTGAAATATCACAGTTCTCTTCATAACATATATTAAAAAATAAAATAACAGCAGAGTTTCAAAGTGGCTTATTTTAACACTAGTGTTCAAACTTTTTTCCTACCATGTGACAAGCTAATAACATGGTTGTCAGCATTAAAAGGTATAATTGCTGGGGTTTTTTTGTTTGTTTTTTGGGTGCAAATTTTGTGTGTGATGAAAATAATAGTGCGTTTTCGTCAGTTATTTTACCTACGGATCTATGCATTTCTTACAGATTTCTGCTCATTCGAAATCGGATACAGATGAAGTAGCACTGTAAGATTACATTTGTTTGAATGCATTATTGAGAGAGCGATTGCGTGTGAATAAGTGTTGTAGTACTTGTTTAAATTATGCTTTCAGCTGAAAATATCTATATCTAGAAGAAACAAACTTCCTTGAGAACTATAACTTCCCGCTCATGTCCATTGCTGTCATCATAACTTCACATTCTTTCTGATTTGAGTGATCCTTCTCTGTCAAGCTAGCTAAATATGTTTAACATGTGAATTCTTGCTAAATATGCAGTTATATTACGGGCTGTTGGCATGAATTACTCGTGATGGAGTGGTGGTGGAGCGCTCTTGGAGTGAGCGAAAACCACAATGCTCCGACTTTTTAAAAATCCGCTCCTCGCTCCATTCAAAATCACACCGCTTCGCTCACATACTCTGATTGCGAGTAACTGTTGCTGTCATGACAGATCTATTTCAGAACCAGCCGCTATCAAAATAATCTGGCTTCGGGGACGGGCCAGATATTATTGCTGGCAGGCCAGTTTTGGCCCGTGGGCCGCCTGTTGCCAACCACTGGTGTAGAGTGTTGTGATGCACAATTTCATCCACAGAATACAGAGAATTGTGCTTCTGTACAAGTCCAGATAAGAGTATATGTATGAATGTGTATTTTTCCTGATTCCCCAAAATATACTTTTTTTTTTAAATCTATTCAGGGACTGTTAAGTGTTGAAGTACTTGAAATATGGCTGCCCAGTGAAAATAAATAACCATACTGAGTCAAGCACCTTGAAAGTGTGCATTGGCAAGAGAGCAGCAGGTGTAGACTGGCTCGAGAAGAGTATGTATGAATGTGTATTTTTCCTGATTCCCCAAAATATACTTTTCTTTTTAAATCTATTCAGGGACTGTTAAGTGTTGAAGTACTTGAAATATGGCTGCCCAGTGAAAATAAATAACCATACTCCTCAGCCGGGGACGGGCCAGATATTATTGCTGGCAGGCCAGTTTTGGCCCGTGGGCCGCCTGTTGCCAACCACTGGTGTAGAGTGTTGTGATGCACAATTTCATCCACAGAATACAGAGAATTGTGCTTCTGTACAAGTCCAGATAAGAGTATATGTATGAATGTGTATTTTTCCTGATTCCCCAAAATATACTTTTTTTTTTAAATCTATTCAGGGACTGTTAAGTGTTGAAGTACTTGAAATATGGCTGCCCAGTGAAAATAAATAACCATACTGAGTCAAGCACCTTGAAAGTGTGCATTGGCAAGAGAGCAGCAGGTGTAGACTGGCTCGAGAAGAGCTCCTCAGCTACTTGTTCCATACAAAAAGGGCATTGTTTGGCATGTAATAGAGAATAAATGGTATAATAAGACAGGCAATGTCCGTTCTATGAAACAGAAGTCGAAAGGAGAGTTGAATTCTTGTATTATATGGGCTTGAGGAAAAAGAAGATATGAAGAGCAAGAGGAAATAGCTTAAGATGAAGCCCTGGGCCTGCACTCATTGCAGAGCCACACCTCTGGTCAAATAGTCAACAAACAAACACATTCAAAAACATGTCTAGTCTACTGGCAAAGTGCTTCTTTTCAATGGCACATTGGTCATATGAGTGATGCAGAATGGAGTCTAAAGAAAAGATGAAAAGAGATTCTTAAGCAAAGCTGCCGGGCTTAGTTCTGTGATGTTAGGCCCTTATCAAGCACATATTAACTTAGATCCAACTCCTACCCTAAATACCCACCTGGACTACTTATTAATGAAGTTAGTGATAAATTTAATCAAAATTATGCCAAGAGAATTGTCACAGTACACTCTATAAAATATAGATTCCAAATGGGGGGTTTCGTAGCGATGCCATAGAAGCATTCTGTGTTTCCCAAAGAACCTTTCATTGAACAGTTCTTAAAAGAACCATTTTTTTTTCTTTGTGAAAAAATATTTTAACAATCTAAAGAACCTTTTCCAACTATAAAGAACCTCTTTGTGCAATGTAAAGGTTCCATGGAAGTTAAAGGTTCTTTGTGGAAGCAAAGATGCTAATAAACAACTGGAATTTTCAAAAGCAAGCAGCTGTTCATAAATACTTGCATTATGATTGGCAGGATTAGATTAACAAACTCCTCTCAAACATTACTTTTAATACTCCATTTAGTGTACAATGAACTCATACAAGATGTTTCACAATATTAAATGTGAAAAACTAGAGGATTGTTAAGTTGTCTTTTGCTTTTTTAGAGATTTAAAATGTCTTATAGTTACAATATGGTTCCTGTACGTAACTTCTCCAAAGTGCTATAGGCAATGAAAAGTTCTTTGTAAAATCAAAAGATTTGGGTTGTAAAACACTTTTGGTTATTAGAAGCAGTCATTTTAAGAATGTGAGTGATAAAACTCAATGTTCAAGTTTTTTATTGTCTGTATTTATAGCCATGGAAGCGTTTTATTTCCTGTTGTGCTTTTATTGGTCATTTATTTTGTTTTTTAACTTTGCAGTTTCAGAGTCCCTACTCCTACTCCCCTCCTTTCCGCTTTGGAACAGTTCCTAACGGCAGCACAGAGAGGAACATCCGTAAGAATTACCCCGACATGCATCAGTACATGGTGAAGTACCATCAGACCGGGGTGAACGATGCGCTGGTCAGCTTGAAGACTGGGTATGTATATCACACCCTCCCTCACTGTGTTTATCCGGTCAGTCTGAGCAGAATGGGTGAAATAGTCAATGAGTCATTGTTTTGCTGGCATATAATTGTCTCACACTAAATACTGGCCGTGCTTATTTAAAGTGGAATAGTTATTATAAAAGAAAAAATATATAAAAATAAAAATAATTAAGATTTAGTTATTTTTTTACTCATATTTATGTTGCTCCATATTTATTTATGGCTTTCTTTCTTACTTGGAACACAAACACAAAAACAAAAGAGTATCCGGACCATCATCAAGCTACAAACTGACATTAAAAATCATATGATAGCTTTGTGTGAGGTGAGCTTTGTTTTATTTTAGTATTATATTTCAAATTTTCCTTTACATTTTTTGCAAATGTTAATAATTTTGCTATGTGCCTTTGTCAAATTTCAGTGTTTTTCAATGTTGGTAACTGTAGTACTTCAACACTTTTTAAGTGTACATTTTAATGTTTTTAAATGAATAGTTAACTAGTTAACAATAGTGGCACAACTCAACATTTATTATAAACTCCTCCACCATCATCACAGCCAAATTAAAGGAGGATTGGGGGTCATTGTGTTTTTTCTCATGCTGATCTCTAGAATAATAAAACCTCAGTTCTGACAACACAAGGACGTTTTGCAGTTTCAGTTTAATGAAAATGAATTTTTGTGGTTACTAAGACATTTCAGCTTCATATAATTGAAATACAAGCAATACTGCCATAATACTGAGTATTATAAGGTACTGTACAGTGACAGAAGTGCAGTAGATCAGCACCAGTGATATTAAAGAGCATTCATTATCTATCTGAACTGCAGCAAGACTGTGTCTTTGTATATTAGCAGATGGGTACAGCACAAGCACAATATTAAATTAGCTTACACTATATTAATAAAGTGTAGATGATTTCTTTTGGAAGTGCACAGGATCATTTCTCGCAGCTTGGCATGTCTCTACACATACTGCAGAAGATCCACCGTTACAAAAGAATCATTGAGCAAATCTACTGGATGTCAGTGGGATCCCTGAGTTACATTTGACATTCTTGAAATGTCAGACAAGCAGACTAATAAGTTTTAGGCAAAGGCTTTTCCAACAGAGAGATCGAGTTTGACAAGCAGCCCACCGTGGCTCCAAATGTCAGTTTGTAGGTGGGGTCTAAAGTCGGGTGCACATAGTGTGATTTTTGTCACGATTTTGCTGTTTGAGACAAATTTCAGAGATTGTAGGAGCTGGTCATATGATGGCTGTCTAATGAAGAAGCACAAACTTCCTCATGTTACAATTGGGGTTTTACAGTATCTACAGTTTAGCATGAAAAAGAAAAAAAAGAAAAGAAACAAAAGAAAATAAATGCTCTTTTATGTTTTTTTTTGTGCTTTGACTCAGGATTCTCTTTTCAGTTGTGACCATAATGGGGGAGGTGCAGTTGAGTGTATAATATTACATTTCAGTCTTTTTCCAGTTTTGTTACTGAAAGTGAAAAAGTGAAAGTGACGTCACATGTGGCCAAGTATGGTGACCCATACTCGGAATTAGTGCTCTGCATTTATCCCATCCAAAGTGCACACACACAGCAGTGAACACATACACACTATGAACACACACCCAGAGCAGTGGGCAGCCATTTTTTGCTGTGGCGCCCGGGGAGCAGTTGGGGGTTCAGTGCCTTACTCAAGGGCACCTCAGTCGTGGTATTGAAGGTGGGAGATAGCGCTGTACATTCACTCCCCCCACCTACAATCCCTGCCTGTACGAGACTCGAACCCGCAACCTTTGGGTTACGAGTCCGACTCTCTAACCATTAGGTTAGAAATCAAAACTATTAAAATGTGTTTTTTATTAAATAAAATGAATTAAAATAAAACACTAAAAATAAAATAAAATAAAAACCATCTAGACTAAAATTATTATGTAGTTTATATATTTATGTAGTTAATATTGTGCATATTGTGTTTCTACTTAATATGATGAATTTTTAATTCAAATTTACTTCACTTCTCAGAACAAATATTATTCCAAAGAAGAACATTACAGAGAATTGTGCCTCAGAAGCACCAATGAGAAAATTAAAGACAAAAATGGCAAGATGTAGGCTTATATAAACAAACAATTCTGTAAAGTATGTGCCCTTTTTATTTATTACTGTTGAAATGCATTTTGTAAATAAAAACAAACTCAGATTTTCTGCTTTTCTCCCTTTTGCAGACACCATTTTGACAACCCCTTGCATTAAACATTAGGCTGAAGTCAATCAAATAACTTTTATTGCTCTTTTTCTCTCTATTGCTTCTGGTGTGATCATACCCAGTGCTGTCTCTCACCTTAAGCTCGTGACTCTGCATCTGCATCATTGCTGTAAAGTTAAAATGTGTTATGATTCATTTGAGGCTTTTGGTGACATGGCAGTGGTGTTAAGGCATGAGAATGACTCATAACATTTAACCTCTCTATTTGCCATCTGAATAGTGTCTGTGCTCTTTCTTTTCACCAGCAAGCTTGATGCCTTCATATATGACGCAGCTGTGCTGAACTACATGGCCGGTAGGGATGAGGGTTGTAAACTAGTGACCATTGGCAGTGGCTACATCTTTGCTACCACTGGCTATGGCATTGCGCTGCAGAAAGGGTCTGCCTGGAAGCGCCCGGTGGATCTGGCCATTTTGGCTATTATTGGAGATGGTAAGTGCTTGCATGCCTGGCAGCAGTCCAGAATGCGGTGCATGTTAGAAAGAACAAATTGAGAGATGTATTAACCCACTGAGATCACAGTTGTACAAGCACTACTGACCTTTCCATGGAGTCCCCAACATAGTGCTATATGGATTGAAATCCTTATTAAATATGTATGTTTATATACATATGCAGGTAGTGAAGCACACCATTCCAGGTTATGAATGGTGAAGGTCTTAACATGCTCTATGAATGGTCACAAAAATAATATTTATAATACTGGTAACACTTTATTTTACTGTACTTATTATTATAGTAACAATAAATTATGCATAATTACATGCAAGTAACCCTAAACCAAACCCTAATCCTAACTCTAACCGTATAGTATGGAAGCATATGGGAGGCAAAATTCATTTTGAAATGTAATATGCAAAATGGCAATGCAATATGTAAAATGGCAATGTGTTTCTGTATTTAAATTAATATTTCCCATACATACGATGTCTGCAACGCTTAGGTGCTCGGGGACACGCAATCCATTATAGGAGAAGAATAAAGTATGGTAGCAAATAGGTAAAAGTGTAGAATTGTCTGATTGCTTATGTGCATCCATCGGAGTGTAAAACAGTGAGAGATGTTGAGGCAGGTGAAAAGCGCTTGGTTATTGGGGAATATTGACCTATTGTGCGTCTTGTTGCCAAGCCCGCCTTGATATAATGATTGACAGGTTGGGGGTGTGGTCGGCTCGGAATGCATTTTCAAATCCACATTGACTTAAACTACATTTTGCGGGGTATTTAATGAAAATGCAATTGAAACGTCTTAAGTGTAAGTGTCAATGCATTTAAGAAAAATAAAAGACATTTAAATCACCATTTTGCTACCCTTTTGCTGCACATTTGGCTCAGAATGCATTTTGAAATTCACACTGCATTTTGCTACAATTATCACGCGGTATCACGATGAAAATCCCATGTGTCCTACCCGTAAGTCTAAATGCATTTAGGAAAAATTTAAATTATAATTTTGCTACAGTTTTTGCTTGGAAGCATATCTAATCAATTTGGGTAATACAATTTCATTTTAATTTTGCAACTTATAAAGCTTTAAAATATGTTTTTAATTTACATATTAAAACTAGTGTAGAAAATGGCAAATGTAAATTATATAATTGAATTTTCATTTTCATTTTTCACTAAATGTTGCACATATGTATGGGAAAATGTACATTTAAGTACAGAAATACATTGCCATTTTACATATTGCATTGTCATTTTGCATATTACATTTCAAAATGAATTTTGCTACCCATATGCTTCCATAGTATAGTAAGTACGTGTAGTTAATTAATATTACTCAGTACTTAAATGTATAATTACACTGTAACAAGGACACCTTAAAATAAAGTGTAACCATAATAATTAATTAAATAACAATATTTTCATTATATTTGAAAATAATATTGTCATGAAAAATGTGAAAAACGGGACATCCATATTTTTTTCCTTTAAGAAAACATGGGCACATTATGTGTCAATGACTCATATTCATAGTTATGTGTGCCACTGTCTCTATGTTGAAAATATGCCTGTTCCTTATTTGTAAGTCACTTTAAAAGCGTCTGTTTAATGAATAAATGTAAATGTCTACCCTAAAGAGATGTTATGCAGTGTATTAAAGCCAGAACTAGAATGTGTTGTGTTGATGCAGCAATGTCCATCTATTAAATTATTTAGCATACTTTCAGTTCAGGGATCTTCCTTCATAGACGTCTGCAGTATTTCTCTCTCTCCATACTATATGCTGTGCTTCACAGTAGTGCTATACACTGAGCATGAAAAATGACAGAATTATCCTCCTGGCAGCTGCACCTTGTAAAGAAAGAGAAAAAAAGTCTCAGATGGTGCTAACATATGGCTAAAGCTTGAGTGTATAATTTTACTGATCCTCACTTTGACATGTTAGCGCGTGGGGAGATCTGGAACAGGAGGAAATGTCTGTGGACGGTAGTACTGCGGCCCACTGATGTGTACATGAAATGTGAATGAAGTGCGTCTCTCCTCAGGTGAGATGGAGGAGTTGGAGGCTCAGTGGCTGACTGGGATCTGCCACAATGAGAAGAACGAGGTAATGAGCAGCCAGCTGGATGTGGACAACATGGCTGGAGTGTTCTACATGCTGGCGACCGCCATGGGTCTCAGCCTCATTACCTTTGTCTGGGAGCACCTGTTCTACTGGAGACTCAGATACTGCTTCACTGGTGTCTGCTCGGGCAAACCAGGCCTGCTCTTCACCATCAGCAGGGTAAGGCTTCCGTTCAGACAATCATCCGTACCTGGACATAAAATGTGGGGAGGACTCCCTGTTACATGTATAAAATGTATTTAGTGCAATCTAAGCCGGGTATGTAATCATATGTGACCCTGGACTAGGGATGCAGCGATTAACCGGTTTCGTGATTAACTGTGCTTTAAAACGTCACGGTTAATTAATCGTAAAGTTCCGCTAAACCGAGTGTTTCTGTTACACGGAACGGAACTGTTGCAGCTTGCGCAAAACGAAAACAAATTTACACTAGCGGTGCACCAGATGGCAAATGTAAATTATATAATTGAATTTTCATTTTCATTTTTCACTAAATGTTGCACATATGTATGGGAAAATGTACATTTAAGTACAGAAATACATTGCCATTTTACATATTGCATTGTCATTTTGCATATTACATTTCAAAATGAATTTTGCTACCCATATGCTTCCATAGTATAGTAAGTACGTGTAGTTAATTAATATTACTCAGTACTTAAATGTATAATTACACTGTAACAAGGACACCTTAAAATAAAGTGTAACCATAATAATTAATTAAATAACAATATTTTCATTATATTTGAAAATAATATTGTCATGAAAAATGTGAAAAACGGGACATCCATATTTTTTTCCTTTAAGAAAACATGGGCACATTATGTGTCAATGACTCATATTCATAGTTATGTGTGCCACTGTCTCTATGTTGAAAATATGCCTGTTCCTTATTTGTAAGTCACTTTAAAAGCGTCTGTTTAATGAATAAATGTAAATGTCTACCCTAAAGAGATGTTATGCAGTGTATTAAAGCCAGAACTAGAATGTGTTGTGTTGATGCAGCAATGTCCATCTATTAAATTATTTAGCATACTTTCAGTTCAGGGATCTTCCTTCATAGACGTCTGCAGTATTTCTCTCTCTCCATACTATATGCTGTGCTTCACAGTAGTGCTATACACTGAGCATGAAAAATGACAGAATTATCCTCCTGGCAGCTGCACCTTGTAAAGAAAGAGAAAAAAAGTCTCAGATGGTGCTAACATATGGCTAAAGCTTGAGTGTATAATTTTACTGATCCTCACTTTGACATGTTAGCGCGTGGGGAGATCTGGAACAGGAGGAAATGTCTGTGGACGGTAGTACTGCGGCCCACTGATGTGTACATGAAATGTGAATGAAGTGCGTCTCTCCTCAGGTGAGATGGAGGAGTTGGAGGCTCAATGGCTGACTGGGATCTGCCACAATGAGAAAAACGAGGTAATGAGCAGCCAGCTGGATGTGGACAACATGGCTGGAGTGTTCTACATGCTGGCGACCGCCATGGGTCTCAGCCTCATTACCTTTGTCTGGGAGCACCTGTTCTACTGGAGACTCAGATACTGCTTCACTGGTGTCTGCTCGGGCAAACCAGGCCTGCTCTTCACCATCAGCAGGGTAAGGCTTCCGTTCAGACAATCATCCGTACCTGGACATAAAATGTGGGGAGGACTCCCTGTTACAATGTATTTAGGTATTTAGTGCAATCTAAGCCGGGTATGTAATCATATGTGACCCTGGACTAGGGATGCAGCGATTAACCGATTAACTGTGTAACTGTGCTTTAAAACGTCACGGTTAATTAATCGTAAAGTTCCGCTAAACCGAGTGTTTCTGTTACACGGAACGGAACTGTTGCAGCTTGCGCAAAACGAAAACAAAGTTACACTAGCGGTGCACCAGCTTAAAATAACGTGCTTATCAGAGGCACGGAGGCTACTACATGCATTAGATGAACTGTGACAGAGGGACCAAACACCAAAGCTTTATTTCTACCAGAGAAATGCCTGTCGATAGTGTGGGACCATTTTGGGTACACCAAGAATGACCAGGGTGTCATTTATATATTGGTGTAAAAAACTGCTGCTAAAGAGCGAATACATAAGGGATAATGCACGGCTAGCTGTACATTGAATGATCTTAATGCACGACGT